ATACATATATATATAAATATTTGTATATATAAACATTTATGTGTATATATATTATTTTTTTTTTCAAACCGTTAGAAATGGTAGTAATGTGTCTGACTGTTTTTAATATATTCTTATATAATGAATTTTTTTTCTTGAAGACTCATTCTACTTCATGGTGTCAGGCAGGTTATTCCAGGTCTGGCTGTTTCACACATAGTTATGAGTGGCTTTATCACATTAACTTTTAAATATTTTTTTTAATATATATATATATATATAATAGTTATGAGTGGCTTTATCACATTAACTTTTAAATATTTTTTTTAATATATATATATATATATATATATATATATATATATATATATATATATATATATATTTTTTTTTTTATAATTGACACTGTTTACATTTTAATGTCTGTCGTGAATAGAAAACATCTAAAAACCTAAAGCAAGAAGTAGTTTTGCTTGGTCATTTTCATGGTTATTAATGATTAAAATGGTTACTAAGCCACTTCCTGTAACCCAAACCTCCAAATTAGTTATTATGATTCTCTTCCCTTTGAAAATGTAGAGCTCTGTGAAAAGGGCTAAAGACAAAATGTTATTCAGACCATAATGGTTCAGCTGTCAATCTGAGGAAGTCATTTTATTTAAAAAAAAAAAAAAAAAAAAAGGTTCCCTGACATTTTATATACCAAAGCTAATTTCATAACAAAGGGAGGTCCTATAGGGCTAAGACTTTATATCATTTCTTTTACAACTGTTACTGCTGTTACTATGAATTATTAATTCAGTAGCAAAGGCTACTGATTCAGTTTCTGATATGTCAGGTATGCTGGCCTGGCGCACATTTACGGCTCAAGCCATTTCCTCCAGGGTGTGGATAAACCATGCCATGACCAGCAGTGGAAACTTTGTCAGGGTATGGTTCTCTGGTCCGTTCCGATTGATATGCATAGGCTTGATCAAATCTAGAAAGAAGACTCTGGCGCAGTCAAATTCCAAAGGTTTGGTGCGAAAGCACCGTCATTGTGGGTAATCACATCACTGAGGTAACACTGCCTGTGGGGAAGACTGCTATTTAGAGATAAACAGTGTTGAAAGGCCAACCATCCTTTGCTCAACATGCTCAGGGACAACATACCATTATTCTGTTTTTCTCCACCGACCAGTTCTCATCTTTAATTGCAGGGAATTCCCTTTTCTTGACTCTGGCCCCTGGCACAGAGCAAATCACCCCAGTAACAACACAGGGAAAGCAAGAAATGTTTGACCTGTCCCTGAGATACCACTGTAGAGCAGCACAGAGCGTCTATCAAATGAGCTGAGAGACTTGTTCAAAAATAGTGACACTGAAACTGGTTCTTTTTAAAAACCTTAACAGGTTTATTCTCATCTGTACTTCGTATTCAGAAAAGGAAAGGATAATTTAGGATTCAGCCCTAACGTTTTATTATGATATATACTTCTCTTTGCCATACAGTTTAGTGGAGTAATTTATTTTCATTGGTCTGGAAACAGCACTGAAGAGGGATTGCCTTATGTTGATTATATTAAATACTGCAACTCAGAGTGAATTAACTAAAATGGCTTCTATAAATTAATAAAATATGGAATAAAAATAGTTGTCAATTCAAGCTATTTATCCAAAGCAAGGTATGTGTTTTCAGCATTAAAGCTTTTTTAAGGCAGACAGAGAGTGAAACAATCTGTGGGATAAAGCACAGCTCAATCTACACTGAGGATGTTTCCCAAGCAAATAAATGGGGCGGACGCCACAAAAGAGAGTTTGCCTCTGAGCAAGCATCCCAGAACTTGGTCCTCTGAGGAAAAAACTGACAATTTGTTCTCACTGACAAATGTCAAACAGAGTTTAAAGGAGGGCAAAGAGGATTATGGGGATTGCAGCGATGGTGGAGTAAAGGAAACCGGCACAACAGGGCTAAAGCTGAAGAACTGCTTATAAACAAAAGGAATCAGTGAAAACCACTAATGCAAATGGTTTGTAGGTGGGTAACAACAGACTCAGCTGAGAGTTTACCGGAAGTCTGTTTATGGGGGGCTTACTGGGGCTTACACTGTGCGATTTTTTGCCCTTTTCGGACCGACTTTCCAGTCATGCAAAAAATTTTCGATCGGGCCGATCACTGCGAAGCTGAATTGACCTGGAATGATCCCAGCTTTTTTGTTTTATTATGGCAGCTAAAAGCTGATATTCTGAGTCAGTTCATCCATCTTAATTTATTTGTCACAACTTCATCAGAGCAGAAACCAAATATTCATAATATTATCTTATGCATACCAGAGGAAGTCTCTCAATACATGGATAAGATATCTGAGTTCATTAGAGATACAGTCAGAGCTATAGCTATAGACGGAAGTTAGGGAATGCCCTATATTTGTTCTCTTTGCTACTACAGATCAGAACGCCACTTTCTTAGGAGTTAAATGTAACATTATACTGTATAGTATACACCAAAAAAACAGATAAATACTGGAGACAAGCAGAGCTAGGACTGAAATCTATTCCTGCAGTCTTATTTATAGACAGATTTGTAATTGTTTGGTAAGCCTCATTACGTTTGATAACTTTATTAAAATTTAAAGTTTCACTCTCCACACTGTTAAGTAATTTTCTATAATGCTGTTTCCAAAGTCTGACTATCATATTTGTTCCACAGTCGCCATACATTGTGCGAGGAAGGAAGAGTTTACTATCATTAATGGTTTTTACCACTTATATAATATTTTTTTTTACTAACTGGTATTATGCCGTAAAAGTTAAAAAAAAAAAAACAATCCACTGGACTTTGTTTCCAAAGGTTTGAAGATGTTTCGCTTCCCGTCCAGGAAGCTGTCTCAATTCAAAATGTCTGGATTAGCATCGAGTTTGAGGCTTTATATAATGGACCAAAAACAAGGCCTTGCATTGCTTGGAAACATGCAAATTCAAACCGACGAGCGGGTCGTTTGGTTCCATTGTTAACCTGTAATATCTGAAACCTGTCTATGATTGCGAAAGGTGGGTCGTTAAATGGGGGATTGTTCACCTGGCTGAAGGGAGGAGGTACTTTCCTCCCCTGTGATGGGATGGGGGTTGTGGGGATACCAGGAAGGAATCAACTTCATAACTGAATTGTACGTTTTTGGAAGTTGGAATCCGAGTTCACCTCCTTTTT